TATATATATATATATATATATATATATATATATATATATGATGCTCTTATTGTGATAATGCAACAGGGAGATAGGGCTCTTATTCTGATAAAACCACCAGAGCTGAGGTGCACCTCATGGTTGGTAGCGTGCTTGCCCAGCATGTTCAGGGCTCTGGGTTCAGTCCCCAGCACTGCAAAAAACTAAACCAAAACAAAAAGACCAAATCTCTTACTATGCTATGCAAATAGCAAAAAGAGAAATTAGGAGAGGAAGAAATCTTACTTTGATGAGGCAACAGCAGATTTAGGACTGCTCCTTTGTAAGAATGTAAGTTGGTTTAGAGTACCATGATCAGAACTTATATTTTGGTAAGGAGACACAAAACCTGAGTTTAAGAGCCCCAGACTCCACATTTGCTCTAGTGAGAGATGAGGGACTTAGAATCTTCTTCAGGTAAGGAAATAGCTATTGGTGTTCTCACTCAGGTGAGGGAAAGGAAGAGGAAGAACTCTTATTTTGGTGAGGGGACCAGAGAGAATCGGGACTCTTACTGCAGTTAGGGATGTGGCTTTCCCATGTCCCTGTGTTCACAGGCCCGTGGCAGGACTGTGCCGAGGCTCACCAGGCAGGCCACAGGCAGAGTGGAGTGTATGAGCTGCGCCTTGGCCGGCATGTGGTACCTGCATGGTGTGAGCAGCAGCTGGAGGGGGGTGGCTGGACTGTGATCCAGCGGCGGCAGGATGGCTCAGTCAACTTCTTCACCACCTGGCAGCAGTACAAGGTGGGTGCGGCAGGCAGAGGCAGGGCTGGGTAGGCCAGCGCCTATCCCTGACTGCCACATCCTGTCGCAGGTGGGCTTTGGGCAGCCGGACGGGGAGTACTGGCTGGGCCTTGAACCTGTGTACCAGCTGACCAGCCGCAGGGACCATGAGCTGCTGGTGCTGCTGGAGGACTGGGGGGGCCGCGGGGCCCGCGCCCACTACGACAGCTTCTCCCTGGAGCCTGAGAGCGACCACTACCGCCTGCGGCTCGGTCAATACCACGGGGACGCTGGGGATTCTCTTTCCTGGCACAACGACAAGCCTTTCAGCACAGTGGATAGGGACCGAGACTCCTATTCTGGTGAGGAGAGCTACTATTCTGGTGGGAGGACAGGGGTGGTGGGACTCCTGATGAGGGAGTAGAAAGTAATAGGGTAAGAGTCGGTAAGCATTAGAGTAAAGAAACCTGGCAAGAGAACAAGCGACAGGACTTTTATTTTGATAAGGGGATGGGAGCCCATATTCTTTTTCTGAAGAGGCCCAGAGTTAAGAATTCTCTTCTGCCAGGGATTTAGCTCAGTGGGACCGTGCCTGCCTGGCAAGCACAAGGTCCTGATTTCGATCCCCAGTACCAGAAAAAAAAAAGAATCCTGGTGGAGGATAGAGGGCAAGGGCTAGAACATTTTTTTGTTTTTGGAGACAGGGTCTCACTATGTAGCCCTGGGTGGCCTTGAACTCACTATATAGCCCAGGCTGGCTTCAAACTGGCAGCAGTCCTCCTGCCTCAGCTTCTTTAAATGCTGGGATTACAGATGTGCACTACCACGTCTGGCTTAGAACATTTAAAAACCCTATGGCCTTGTGCATGCTAAGCATGTGCTCTACTGCAGCCCAGACTTACTATAGAAAAGAAGCAGAGAATTTGTCTTCCGCTGGTAAAGGAATGAGCGGTAGAATTCTACTTGGCAGAAAATGCAGGAAATTCATAACTTGTGCTTTGATAACGAGATAGGAAAGGAATTTAGGCTGTTACTCTGAAAGTGGAAGGCCAGGGCTTTTATTCTGGTGAGGAGATATCAGGACTCATATGCAGCAAGATTGGGAAGGGCCAGGGGATGCCTAGCAAAAGCCTTGCACAAGGAGGTGCTGGGAGAGGCTTTTCTTTTGCCCTGCAGGACACTGTGCCCTGTACCAGCGTGGAGGGTGGTGGTACCACGCCTGTGCCCATTCCAACCTCAATGGTGTCTGGCACCGTGGTGGCCACTACCGAAGCCGCTACCAGGATGGCGTCTACTGGGCTGAGTTCCGAGGTGGGGCGTACTCGCTTAAGAAGGCTGCCATGCTCATCCGGCCCGCCAGGCTGTGACTCTGTCCCTCCATCCCCACGGTGCAGGGTGACCCGGCCACACCTCCCTTGCGGCTCAGTGCTGAGCCCGTCCCAGACTTTCCCATGGTGGTGGATCCGGTCCCCGGGGCCCCCACAATGGGGCCCAGAAACGCCTCTGCTAAGATCTCAGGCCTGGACGGCTCCCGAGGGCGTTTATATGTAAGGTTGCGCTTGGATTTGCTAACAGAGTACCGCAGCCCGGCATGCTCACTCCCGGGGCCCGGCCTCCTCCTCCTCCTCCTCCTCCTCCTCCTCCTCCTCCTCTTCCTTCAGGTCCTCCAGGATGAGGTTGTCCAGGTCCTCTAGCAGCCCAGCCTGGCTCAGGCAGGTGGCCACGGTAGAGCCGCTGCTGATGTGGGGGTTGCTGGGGTGCAGGACCTTGGGCAGGTGGTTCTGCTTGCGGCTCTTGGGGTGAGCGCAGGAAGTCCCGGGCACGTGGGGCTCTGTGGGCAGAAAAGGGGCTGAGGTCGCCACCGAGGTCTGGGAGATGCTGGGAGGGGGTGGGTCACAGGAAATGGGGCGGGAGCTGCGGGAGCTCAGACCCTGAGACCGCAGGAGACTGGGTGGGGTCACAGGGCCGCAGCATACACCAGGAGCTGGAGCCTGAAAGGCCCTGGGGACCCTGTGTATCCCATGGGGCCCAGTGGGGTGGGGACCAAGTACCTATGGGCACTGAAGCTTCTGTATTTTAAAAAATTTTTTCTTGTTTTTTTCTTGTTTTGGGTCTCTCTATGTAGTCCAGACTAGCCTTGAGCTCACTGTGTAGGCCAGGCTGGCCTCAAACTCTTGGCAATCCTCCTGCCTCAGCCTCCCAAGTGCTAGGATTACAGGCATGCGGTACTGTGCCTGGTCCCCAACCTCTTTTATAAATTTTTGTATTTTCAGACAGGGTCCTGCTAAGTCACTTAAGTTGCCCAGCCTAGACTGTAACTTGAGATATTCCTGCCTCAGCCTCCCAGAGTGCTGGGATTACAAACGTGCCACCATGCCTGGCTGAAACCACCCTACTTAAGCCCACAAAAGAGGACACAGACTGCCTGCCTGGACTTGGGGGCACACCTGGGGGACCCCCCCCCACGCCCAGGCCCTCACCTCGCCTATTGTAGCAGTCTGCAGCCGAGCAGGAATGGGTGTGCGTACTGCGCCGATCCATGTTCAGGTCCCAGCGCGGAGGGAGGATCCGTGTCGGAAACACGGGGAAGCCACACCCGTAGCAGGGGGACTGGGACCCCATCTGTGCCCAGCCCCTGGGGACGCGCAGGGCTGTGAGGGTCTGGGGCGGGGCAGGGGTGAGGGAGGGTGGGGCTGGGGTGTGGGCAGGGCGAGGGCGGGGCAGGGCCCTCACCGGAAATTGTGCCGACACTTCGGGCAGTGGAACTCAGCCAGGCCCCACATCTTGTCGGCTGGTACTGGCTCGTAGCGCTTCCGGCATTTGCGACATCGGGACACCTGGGGGTGTGCGGAGAGGGGACCATGGGTGGTCAGAGGCAGCTGGGGTTGGGATCAGGGCCGGCGATGGACTGCAGTGGCTGGCGCTGGCCACAGGAGGGACAGTCACATGGGGTAGTGGGCAGGCACTGTCAACAGGGGTTCCCTGCCAAGAGCAAGTGAGCTGGTTAAGCATTTGCCATAAGCACAGTACTTACTAATCAGCGGGTGCAGCAGTCAGATTTGGGGTTGCGGTTTGGGGGCCAAGTTTGATTTTTCTTTGTGGTACTGGAGACTGAACCCAGGGCTTTGGCACTGAGCTACAGCCCCAGCCTTTACTTTTTTTTTTTTAAATTTTGGAACAGGGTCTGGATAAGTTCTCCAGGCTGGGCTTGAATTTGCAACCCTCCTGCTTCAGCCTCTCAGAGTGCTGGGATGACAGCAATGAGCCAGGTTTGATTTCTTTCTTTTTTTTTTTTTTTTTGGTACCGGGGATCGAACTTGGGTCCTTGTGCTTGCGCAGCAGGCGGCAAAACCACTGAGCTAAATCCCCGGCCCCCAGGTTTGATTTCTGAAGTTGCTATCACACTGCAGCAGCATCAAGGTCTGGCCAGGGGGCAATGATTTCAGCTTCTCAAATCCAAGGTCAAAACTCTAGTTTTGAACAATGGTGCACCCCTGCAATCCCAGTCCTAGGTAGGGTGAGGAAAGAGGATTCCAAGTTTGAACCCAGCCTGGACTACAGAGTGGAGCGAGACCCTGTCTCCAAAAAAAAAAAAAAGAAACAAAATTCCCGCTGTGGCTCAAGGGCTGGGCTCAGAGATCAAGATGAACTCCAGGCCTGGAGGTCTAGGTTTGGGCCCTGAGAGGGACCATCCTGAGGTTAGGAGTGAAGTTTGGGCTGGAGTCAAGGTCAGGTCTGGGGTGTCACCTCCTTCCGCTGGGGCACTCGGCGCCACCACACGTGGTCACAGCTGGAGCAGGCGAACTGCCGGTCCACAGCGGGGATGAGGTCATCCTGGGCACGCTGGAACATGCGCAGGTTGGCTTCCGTCAGCGGCAGGAGCGAGGTTGCCACAGCCTGTGGGGTGGGTTGGGGACGGAAGCGTCACCCTCCTCTCCTGACAAACTCCTCGTCTTCCTGCCCCACTGGGTGTCAGCTCTAGACAGGTGGATCCCCACTGCCACCACCACAGTCCTCTCCCATCCCCCAGCCTGGCCCCACCACAGCTACCAACACACCTGGATGTCCTGGTCCTGCTTCATGTCCTCTGGGGGGTCCTGGATGGAGACATGGGACGGGGCAGAAACTGGGGATGGCGCTTGGGCCACTTTGCCCATTGGTTGGGGGCGGGGCCCATGCATGGGGGCTCCCGAATGGGGAGTCAGGATTCTGGCTTCATAGAAGAGTATAGTGCTGGAAGCCAGAAGTGGTGGCGCCTACCAGTACTCTCAGCACTGGACAGGCTGAAGCAGGAGGATTGCAAGCTCAGCCTCGAACGTAGTGAGCTTTGAACATAGTGGGTTCAAGGACAGGCTGAACTGCATAGCAAGACCCTGTCTCAAAAAACAAAACAAAGCCAGGGATTTAGCTCAGTGGTGCTGCCTGCCTCCAAAGTGCAAGGTCCTGAGTTCGATCCCTGGTACCAAAAACAAAACAAAACACAAGACTAGGGTGCCCCCAAGTCACCAGCAGCTGACAGAGTAGTGCCTGCTTACTGAAAGCTTGGTGTGCAGCCTTAAGTATCCAAACAGCAGCCCTGAGAGGTAATGGAGCATACCTGTTAGCCCATTGCTCAGATAGGGAAGCTAAGGCTCAGAGCCTGAGATCCCCCTTCATGAGTGTGGCCAGCAGAGACCTACCTGGACCCCGTGCCCCCTTCCTCCCTGCACACTCCGTATAGTCCTTGATACAGAAGTGACGCCTCACAGATGCAGGGTGGAATCTGCACTCTACCATTGCCAGCTGTGGGAAGGTGGGTGAGCCCAGGTCCTGATTCACAGGCATCTAGGGTTCAAATCTCAGCTGCCACCAGCTCAGTGCGAGAGCCCTGGGCCTCAGTTTCCTTGTCTGTAGAATGGGGGTGATCAATGACAAAACCCCCTGTGGCCGGCCACATGGGAAGTGGCCCATCCATGTGACCCTGTGCAGTTATTGCCACTACTGCCTGCCTCTAGGTGGATAAATTTAAGGCGGGTCACGTACTTTTAGTCTTTAATATGTCTGGCCACCCCCAAGGCTAAGAGGCACAAGGCCATGTCGCACCTGGACACTAGTCATTCATTCAACCAACACAGGCCTCCCTGCCACCTCCCCTTCTCAACTCCCCTACTTAACTTAAAGTCAGCACATGAGCGCCCACTGTTTGCTCCAGCTCACTGAGACGTGGTGAAAGTGGCCGAGTCAAGGATGAGCTGGTGGGGGGGAGCAAGGGTGGCTTGGGTCCCCTCCGTGGAGAAGGGGACAGGTTACCTGGGCATCTAGGCCGCTACTGAGGCCCTGTCCGTCTTTCTGCTTGACCCCTGGGGTAGAGTAAGGAAAGGAGCCTTGAAGGATGGGTCGAGAGTTTCATGCACCCCAGGCCCGAGCTCCAGGGCTCTCCGTCCACCACGCCCCATTGGCGCCACACGTGGACCCCGAGGCTCACCGTACACGATGGAGCGCCCCACCCCGGTGTGGTCGCTGGCGAATTTCCTCATCAGAGCCCCCGCCTTCTTGGGGGACACCTTTCCGTGAAACTTCTCCCGCAGGCGCCGGACGCTCTTCTCCAGCTGGGACCGGGACAGGGTGGGGGCACCGAGGTGGGGGAGGGGAATTCGGGGTGCCACCGACCCTCCCCCACTCCAGATGTCATCTCCTGGCCCGAACTTGACCCTTGATTTTGGCCTTCCAGTCCCCACCCCCTCCATCCCTTGGTGGCATTTCCTGGAAAAAGCCAAAGTCCTCTGGGCCATCCCGGGAGGAGGGGCGCGCACTGGGGCAAGCGCCCCAGCCTGGGGCGGGGGGTAGGTGACCCATGGCCCCTGACCCCTGACCCTGGCAGCCCCCCAGCTTCTCCTCAGGAGGCCGCCTTTCTCTTTAGGGGTGGTGGCGGTGGATATGGAAGTCACTCTTTCCCAGGGGGGATGATCTGGGTTTAGGACAGGAGGAGGGGGTCCCCAGGAACTGTGAGCCCCCCCAACCTAGGATGCTCCCTAGTCCTCCTCGGCGCCTAATGCAGCCCCCTGGTGCCCAGGCCTGGCGTGGCCGTGTCCTACCTCCACGCCTTCCTGAGACATGGTGGCGGCGGTGGCGGTGGCGGTGGCGTTGGAGGCGGCTCAGGTCCCCGCGAGGGTCCGCACTGCGTGTTCGACTGGCCCCCGCCAGGGCGCGCCCGCCTGAGCCTCAGCGCAGGGTGGGGGCGGAGCCTGTGCCGGCCACGCCCCTCCCCGGCCCCCGCTTTCTTTCGCTTTCGGTTCCTGGGACTCCGGCCGCCTTGGCTCCGCCTCTGTTCCTGCGCCCCAAACCCAGGCGGGTGCCCGAGATGAGGGGCTGTGCTCCCTGCGGCGGGGCGCGCGCACCCGGCGGGAAGCGGCGCTGCCTCTGCAGTCGGTCGGTCACATGTCCCCACGCTGCGCGGGGTCCGTGTCTGCGCGTCCCCCCGTGGGGGCGGGGCTGCCTCTCAAGTCCCCCCTCCCCCCTTCCTCACGCCCCCCCCCACTTCCTCACGCTTCCCCGCCCTGCTCCTCCCCCAGGATCCAGTGCTCCTTAGGACCTGAACCTTTTAAAACTTGCTCAGCGGTGGCCTCCATCGCCTTTTGGAACCTCAGTTTACCTCTCTGTACAATGGGAACGACTTTGCGCTGGGCGCAGTGGTGCGCGCTTGTCATCCCCGTGCTGGGGAGGCTGAGGCAGGAGGATCACTGCGCGTTCGAGGCCAGCCTGTGCTACATAGCGAGACCCTGTGTCAAAGAAAAAAAGGAAAGGACCTTAATGCTTACATCCTAGAGCAAAGTGTGTGTCAGAAGCAGAGAACTTCATGGCGCCTAGTGCCATGGACCTTCCTGAATCACTGGGCCACCTGCCCTGTGTGTCCAGTAATCTGCATTGTAAGTAGAAAGGTTGGGAATTGTGTGAGCCAGGCCAGTTTTTTGTTTTTGTTTTTTGAGACAGGGCCTTGCTATGCAGTTCAGACTGGCTTTGAACTCAGTATGTACTGGCCTCAAGCTTGCAACAATCCTCCTGGCTCAGCCACTTGAGTATTGGGGTTGCAGGCGTGTGCCACCACTAACAGCTATGGCCAGGACAACTCTAACCCAGCATGGAGGACTGGGGCCCCCCTTAGCTAGGACTCTGACTTTTAGCCCTGGGATATCAGAAATGACTTCTTGGAGAAGGAATGGTTTGTACATAGTCACTGAAGTTTGGGGCTTGACTAGGGTAAGAGTAGCTGTCATCCTAGCTACTCAGAAGGATTGCAATTTTGAGTCCACTTTGGGCAAGTCAGTGAGACCCTGTCTGAGAAGTATTAAGGGTTGGGGGTCCAGCTCAATGGTATAGTGCTTGCATAGCACGTGCAAAGCCCTGAGTTCCATCCTCAGCACTGCCAAAGATGTGGTGTGTATATATACACAGTGGAGTACTATACAACCACAAACAAGGTGAAATCCTGTCATTTGCAATAACAACGATGGCTCTGGAGGCCATTACATTAAGTGACATGAGCCAAGCACAGAAAGACAACCACTGCATGCCCTTACTGATATGGGGAAGCTAAAATAAGTTGATCTTATGAAACTGAGAGTAGAATAAGGTTTACTGGAAGCTTGGAGGGTGGAGGGAAAAGGGATGAGGTAGGTCGAAGGGCACAAAGTGACAGGAGGAAGAAATTCCAATATCCTGTTGGACAATAGTGAGACTGTCATGAGTAGTGGTGCCCTGTATATTTCAGAATAGCTAGGAAGGAAAAGTCCCCCTGTAGTACTGGGGATTGAACTCCGCACTTCCACACTGAGCTAAATCCCCAGAATTGTTCATTTTTTTTTTTTTAATTTGAGACAATTTCATTAAATCGCCCAGGTTGGGCTTGCACTTGAGATTCTTCTGCCTCAGCTTCAGGGACTGGGAATACAGGTTTGTGCTACCACACTGGGCTTGAGGATACATTTTTTTTTGAGGATACATTCTTTAGCAAATAAAAAATGGTATTGAATTGGGCCATGGTGACACATGCCTGTAATCCAGCACTCAGGAGGCTGAGGCAGGAGGATCACCACAAGTTCGAAGCTAACCTGAGCTACATAGTGAGATGCTGACTCACACAACAAAAAAGCCAGGCAGTAGATCCAGTCCACACTGGGGAGATTGGAATACGGGCCCTGTTCTCAGCCTCCTCTTGTTCCCCTTACCCTGCTAGTCTGATCATTTGTGCCCTAGAGGTGAGGGGACGAGAGGTAGGAGAAGAATGAAAGTCCACTGGGAAGGACAAACAGAGCCATGACCAGAGCCTCGAACTTTGGTGTTTGTAGATCAGCCAGGAAACGAACACGTGGGCTGTCACATGGGGACACTTCCTACCCAACCGGAGTGACCTGGGCATGGGAGGCTTGCATGTACACGGTATGAGTGCTGTAGCCTTTTTTTTTGAGACAGGGTCTCACTGTGTAGTTCAGGTTGGCTATGGACTATAGGTGGGCTAACACTATATATCCCAGGCTGCCCTCAAACTTGTGGTGATCCTCCTGCCTCAGCCTCCTGAGTATTGACATTACAGGGCCTTTGAAAATTTATTTTTACTTTTTGGTGGGGTTTTTTGGTACCAGGAATCGAACTCAGGACCTTGCACTTGCCAAGCAGGTGTGACTTTATGGTGCTTTGGGACAGGGTCTCCCTATGTAGCCCAGCCTGGCCTTGAACTCAAAGGAATCCTCCTGCCTCAGCCTCCCAATTGCTGGGATTACAGGCATGCACCACCATGCCCAGCCTCCTTTCCTTTATCTTCCACGTTGCATATTTCTCTAACAATCGAATTTCTTTTGCAATGAACATCCATCTATTTTGTAATCAGAAAAAAATATAGATCCCATATATAAATCCAATTTTAAAAAAAAAATAACGTGGAGCCATGGAAATATACTTCCTACACCTGCAAGGTGGGAAGAAATTCAGGAGCTTGTACTTTGTGTCACCCTCAGTGTGTCCTTTGTTGTGCAGGACCTGGACACTGTCCTTTATAACACAAGAATCTATTGTTCCGTTTTCCCAGAATCAGCTTCATTTTGTTTTTTCGGGAATGTGATCCGTGTAGAAGTTGAGGAACTGGTTTGAGGACTCCTCGCTAATGAATTTGCCAAGCAGAAAAACTGCAAAGCCTAAAATATAAATGCCCAGCTGGGTGAGGAGGCACATGCCGGTCATCTCTGCACTTGGGAGGCTGAGGCAGGAGGATCACCCCAAGTTCAGCCTGGGCCATACAGTGAGTTCCAGGCCAGTTCTTTGTAAATGACCCAGTCTGTGGGGCAGGATTATTAGCAGTAGACCAGGGACTGAGCAGCAGTGTCAGAGATTGAGCACATCACATGAGTGGGCTGGATTCCTTAGTGTTGAGTTGCTGTAGCAAAATCCCTGCAGCAATTAACTTATAAAGAGAAAATGTTAGTTTGCTTCACAGTTCTGGAAGTTTCAATCCAAGATCAGGCCTCCCTGTTCTTTGGCTCTGTGGCGAAAGCACTGTGGTAGAGCAAACTGTCTACATCACAGGTCAGGAAACAAAGAGGAAGAACCAGACTTTGGTTTTAAGGCCCCCCGTGGACCTCAGGACTTCCCGTAGTAAGGCCCATAGCTGCTCCCAATAGCGCCACCTTGAGGACAAACATATGGAGTCTTGGGCACGTTTATTCATGCCACAGCGCAGGAGCTGGTGTGGTGGCGCACGCCTGTGATCCCAGCTACTCTGATGGCTGAGGGAGGAGGATCATGAGTTTAAGACTAGCTTGGGCAACTTAGTGAGTCCTTGTCTCAAATTATTAAAAAATAAAAAGGGCTGAGGATGTATTTGGTGGTATTAACTAGTATGTGCGAGGGCCTAGGCTCTGTCCCCGTATTATGGGAAAAAACACTGGCTTGCAAAGGCAAGATGGTAGGGCTGGGGATGTAGCTCAGTGGTGCTGCACCTTGCACCTGCCTGGCAAGCACAAGGTCCTGAGTTCCATCCCCAGCACCGGGGGATGGGGTGGGGGGGATGACACACGGACAAAAAAACAAAGGCATGGTGGGATGTGCCTATAATCCCAGCCCTTGGGAGGTTGAAGCTGCAAATTGGAGGCCAGCCTGGGCTACAAAATGAGTTCAAGGCCAGCCTGAATTGCATAGTGAGACCCTGTCTCAAGAAAAGAAAACAACAACTATTCTGGATTTATTAAATTAAATAAGAAATAAAATATACTATTAAAAACTAAGTTCACTTTTTACTTTATTTATTTATTTATTTATTATTGATACTAGGGATGGAACCCAGGGCCACTCTACCACTGAGCTACATCCCCAGCCCTTTTTATTTTTTATTACGAGACAGGGTCTCACTAAGTTGCCTGGGCTGGGCTCACACTTTCAATCCCCCTTCCTGAGCCTCCTGAGTAGCTGGGGTGACAGGCGTATGCCTCTGGGCCTGAACTGAATAAATGTTTTGACTCCTATGAAAAGACACAGGCTCAGACCAGGTTAAAATATCCTTTTCTATCTGGGAGTACAGAGATTATAGGCACGTGCACACGCGCACACACACACATAGAAAGAGACAGGAGAGCTGGGTGCATGCCTGTAATCCCAGCAACTGAGAAGGCTGAGGCAGGAGGATTGCCAGGAGTTCAAGGCCAGCCTAGGCCACACAGCAAGACCCTGTGTCATAAAATTTGTTTTGTTTTTTGAAAAGACACATTTCTGTGGTCTTTGTTCTAGAAATTCAGTCTCCCTTCTGTGATTTTTTTTTTCCTGATACTGAGGATGGAACCCAGGGCCTCCTGCATGCTAGACAAGTGTTCACCACTGAGTTGCATCCTACCACAAATACCACAAATGTGTTGTCTCTAAAGCTGTGTTTGAAGAAGGACATGGAAACTGAGCCCAGATAAGGGAAGGTGAAACCATGCCCGGGGAGAGGCGTGCAAAGGTCCTGAGGTAGTATCAGTTTGACTGTTAAAGGACCCAGCAGAGGCTGGTGTGGTCAGAATTGGGTGAGACAATTGTATTTAAACATGGAACTGTTAAGAAATAAGCAAAAGAAGGGTACAGGGGCGGGGCAGAGCGAGCAGGCCGGAGCCGCTGCATGGAGTGTTGGCGAGGTCTCCCAGGTCGCGGGGGTCACCGCCTGCCCCGCCTGCACGCCCATCCTTCGGTCCGTGCACACGTGCTCTCCCGCTCCGCCCTGTGTGGGGACCCCGGCGGGCGTGGTGCGGACATGGCCAGGGACGCCGTGCAGCGTGAGCCCTGGTCCCTGCTGGAGCACCTGGGCCTGGCAGGAGCGGACCTGGCAGCGCCCAGGGTGCAGCAGCAGCTGGAGTTGAAGCGGGAGCGGCTGCGGCGTGAGATCCGCAAGGAGCTGAAGCTGAAGGAAGGTGCAGAGAATCTGAGGCGTGCGGCCACTGACCTGGGCCGAGGCCGGGGCCCCGTGGAGTTGCTGCTGGGTGGCTCTGCGCACCGCCTGGACCTGCTGCACCGCCAGTTGGAGGAGCTGCACACGCACGTGGTGCTGCCTGAGCCCACTGCTGGCCAGGATGTCCCCCAGTCCCCAGGTGCAGGCAGCTCCGCCTGCTTGGCTACCAACCTGAGCCGAGTGGCCAGCCTGGAGAAGCAGTTGGCCATCGAGCTGAAGGTGAAGCAAGGTGCAGAGAACATGATCCAGACCTACAGCAACGGCAGCACCAAGGACCGGAAGGTGCTGCTGACGGCCCAGCAGATGTTACAGGACAGCAAGACCAAGATTGACATCATCCGCATGCAGCTCCGTCGGGCCCTGCAGGCCGGCCAGCTGGAGAGCCAGGCAGCATCCAACGAGGCCCCAGGGGGTCCATACTTGGGAGCAGTGGAGCTGCACATCGAGGAGCTTCGACATCACTTCAGAGTAGAGCACGCTGTCACCGAGGGTGCTAAGAACGCTTTGCACCTGCTCAGTGCGGCCAAGGCCCCAGACCAGAAGGCTGTCAGCGAGGCCCAGGAGAAGTTGGCCGAGTCCAACCAGAAGCTGGGGCTGCTGCTTGAGGCACTGGAGCGCAGGCTGGGGGAGCTGGCCGCTGATCACCTGAAGGGGTGGCTGCTTCGTGAGGAGCTGGCCATGGCCTCATCAGCCACATTCAGCACGCTGCTGACTGGGCCCTTCCCTGCCGCACGGTACAGCATGTTGTGCAAGCCGGCGCTGCTCACAGGGACTCTGGAGGTACGTGTGGTGGGCTGCAGGGACCTTCCAGAGAACATCCCCTGGAACCCCTTGCCCTCGGGGACACCTGGGACTCCTGACAGCCCTATCCCCTTCCTGAGCCGCCCAGGCCAGGGCCTCCACAGCCGGAGTGGAAGCCTCAGTGGCTGAAGCAGCCTCAAAGCAGAAGCTGAGAACACAAGTGAGGTCAGCACTGTGCTGAAGTTGGATAACACAGTGGTGGGACAGACTTCCTGGAAGCCATGTGGCTCCAGCACATGAGACCAGAACTTCACATTAGAGCTGGAGCGGGCCCGGGAGATGGAGCTGGAGCTGGCTGTGTTCTGGAGGGACCAGCGGGGTCTGTGTGCCCTTAAGTTCCTGAAACTGGAAGATTTCCTGGACAATGAACGGCATGAGGTACAGCTGGACATGGAGCTGCAGGGCTGCCTGCTGGCCGAGGTCACCTTCCACAACCCTGTCATTGAGAGGATCCCCCGACTCCAGAGGCAGAGGCAGAAGAAAATCTTCTCCAAGAAGCAAGGGAAGGCGTTCCAGCGTGCCAGGCAGATGAACATCGATGTGGCCGTGTGGGTGCAGCTGCTGGAAAGGCTCATCCCCAATGCCACAGCCACGGGCACCTTCTCCAGGACCCGAGGCCCGGCCTGTGGGGGACATTGCAGTGGAGAAGCTGAGCCTTGGACCCGACCCCGACAGCTCCGCGTAGAAGAGCCCTTCAGGGCAGCTGTCCAGAGCATCCAGCCTGGGTTCCCCAAGCCAGGTAATGGCCACTGTTCCTAAGCTGCCTTCAGAGACCCAGGAGACCCCAGGCTCCAGCCTAGGTAGCTCTCTGAGGAACTTGCCTCTGACCCTGGAGGACTTCAAGTTCCTGGCGGTGCTGGGCTAGGGTCACTTTGGGAAGGTGCTGCTCTCTGATTTCCACCCCAGCAGGGAGCTCTTTGCCATCAAGACTTTGAAGAAAGGGGACATAGTGGCCC